AAAAAGAAAGCGAGAAGAAACAGCAAAACTACTAATCAACGGACAGAAAAGCAAGTGGACGAATTCCCAGTTCCACTAAAATTCCATGAGGGAAAAACATATTCTGGTTTAAGAAGGAAGAGTCATTCGAGATGTGCAAATAATTTTTAAGTGCAAAGAAAAGTATACAAAACAACAAAAAAAAAACACGCCAAAAATTGGCAACAAAGTAGTTGGTTTACAATCGCAGCAATTATCGTCAGCTGCTGTTACGCTTCCCCTCATCTCCGCTAACTCTGCTGCTGTTTAAACAACGTCTGTGGTGTTCTGGATTGTTGGCATTCCGAATTCCGGATGTAAGCGTGATTTTTACCACCAGCAGTAATGTCATTCTGAAGTTCGCCTCCTACTCTCTTTTATAGTGCAGCAAGCAGGAGACCTGTGTTTTATCCAGCCCGTTCACTTCCATTAGTAGGTGAGTAACTTTTATTTTTAATAATAGAAATTGGTATAGATAATACTTGACTTTATTCATTTTTATATACTATATTGTCAGTTCCAGTAGAATCCAAAATTAATAACCTACAGCCAACTCTCGGTGGTTGCTGCCCCCATCGCAGTTCAAACATATGAATTGATTTTTCCACCTTAAGATGCATTATTAATGTGAATTTGTTTGCATTAATTGATTGTCGACGTTCGGCTTGCGCTTCTTAGTCGTTTGATTATTGTTGACTCGATTCTGTGTTAACACATTGTTAAAGTTATTTATAACCAGCTATACAAATTGTATAGCACTGATAAGTGCCATGCATGCCTTGGGCATTGAAAACGATATGTTAAGGATATATTGCCAGATAAAATATAACTTTAGGGGTATTCTCTTAGTCTTTACAAATCTGTCCTATACAAAAACCCGTTTTTACCGTGCAATCTGTGCACCGTGCTAAGGCTTTGTAAGACTCGGAGATTAGCCCTATTCTTTTATCCACCCATGCCCTTAAAGGGTTAATATGTATATATTAAAAACATTACAATTGAGATTGCTGTTGTCTAAATAATTTTTTTTACTTATGTTATTAAAACCCTTCATAAATTTTGAGAAAAGCTGAAGATGTTTCTCGATCGGAATATAATGTACATACCGCACGTTTAATGATATACAGAATTATTTCAAAATTTTAAGTTTGTGGGAAAACGCAATCAAAGTTTGATCAATTCGTACAGTTAATATACCAAAAGACAGATGTAAAGACCCATATCCTCGCTATTATTGGGAAGTTAAGTCTCTGTTAGGCTGAACACATTCTCCTTATAAAGCTTAGTAATTGTATGATGAAATCTCCAAAAATGTAAATTTTGAATTACATCTGTATATTATTAAACGTGCGATACATATTTACATATGTACTTATAATCAGGATAGATCCAGTACTGGAGATGCGAGTATCTCGACGTCATTTACGAAAGCTGTTCGATTGTTGATTTATTAAAATAGGAAAAAATACTTCATTTTCATCGCTTTCTTGTAACTTTAAACATAGCTCAGAACCCGATGACAACGCAATGTGAAGGATGGATTATTCTGAAAGGTGGCGCGGGTGTTGAGATATTTGAAAAACCCGTATTTATGGACCGATGTGGTTCAAATTTAGAATGTATATTACATACATGAAAAGGAATAACTAAATAAAAAATTAACTCGATAGGTGGTGCAGGAAACGAGATATTTGGAAAACGGTGTTTATAGTCCGGTTTGTTTTATATTTAGGACTTGTCTTTAAAAAATTGTTTTTAAATTACTAGTTTATTACTAAGTACTGTAAAAACTAATACTCTCGTCGATGCATATGTTTGTATGTACATACATCTGTATATCTATCGTAGTCTTTCTAGTGGACTGTCATATATGTAGTATCAAGTAGATCATTGGAAGAATGGTGTCTAAACCGCTGAAGTATTAGTGGGTTTATGTTGACTGCTCAATTAATATGGAAAACTTTGACACCAAATTCATGAACTCTCTTATGCCACGAATATGAAAAGGTGCATGTATTAAGCCTGTCATTATATTAAGTCAATCAGCGTTTTTATATTTGAATACCTATTATGTATGTATATCAGCATATGTATGCATATGCAAATAAGGCTATCTTCCGCTTTTAGTTGCACGCATATGGATATTTGACGTTATCGGATTTGCAAAACCCTCTTGCGACGTTTAGTCCAACGCCACAGCACAAAGTTTAACTAGTTATTGACACAAAGACGTAGTGATTTGGGCATTGCTTGAGTGTTTTGACGTATACAAGCTCAGTCATTTAGCCACTTGGTTATTCTAGCCCCTTAGTTGCTCAGCCGCTTATTAGTTACATTACAATATTTCAAGCTAGTGCGTGTGTGCATTACAATGTAGTATGTAATGTTGTTTCTTGTTGTCCGTCCACTCACTTGAACACGCTTTGAAATGTTGGCTTTGTCACACTCGCTTATGTGCTCTAGCTGCAGCTATTGTAGCTTACTACTGTGGCATTGTTTTTATTGTTATTATTGTTGCAATGAGCGACTGTAGTCTATTGTTAATGTTTAACAAATATAAGTAGTTGTTGGCTTATGCATATATACATACATATCGCACATGTTCTTCAAAAGGGGCACAACTCAAAAAAAGAAATTAGGTTGTTGTTGTTGTTGTAGCAGCATACAAATTCCCCAAAGACTTTTTGGGGAGTGTTGCTGGAGTGACAGTCCTTGGCCAGATATAAATCTGGGTCGTTCCGGTTACGTAGACCCGACTGTCGTGGGAACGAAAAAAAATAGGTCAATTTTTTTGCATAAATAAGTTCGTAGGATTTATGTATATCCTAGTAATGCGAATATTTTATTTTTTTTTTATTTTTATGTTTTCTAACTAGAAAAGTACGCTATACCTGTTTTTGTATTAATTGAGTTGAATCTGCACGATCCACAAGCAGTTATATTTTTGGATCTGATTTTTGAGTTGTGCCTCTTTTGAAGATGGTGTGCGTTGTGTATATATGTATCTACATACATAATTGTGGTTGTTGGTGCTAGTTTTCCTTTTGCGGGTTTCACATTTCCGTTGTACGGTTCCGGTGGCACCTAAAGAAGCGCAATATAGCAACTGCCATACGGCAACAAAGACAGCAGCAACTACACATTAATGTTTTTATCGTCAGCATTTTGCAAACTAACAACTTTATAAAGTTATTTACGCATGGCATATATGCTATTACTATAGTTGTAGGTAAAGGTATGAAAAAAGTAGAATGATGTGAATAAAAGGCAGAAATGAAAACATTTCCGCCTTCGAGTATGCCCTAAAAATCAACGAATAGAATAGGGGAAACGGCTTGTTGGCTGAGGAAGCTTAATTTTGGAGCCGCTTTACACGCTTTTTGGCAGTTAGAACTTAAATTTTGTTGTTGGCATTTTATGTATTGCCTTTGTCAAGTTAAAAAAAAAAACTCTTTGGTGGAGCGAATATTTGCACGAAAAAAACTTAAAATAGAAAAAGTAACAACGAGTACTTGAGCTTGCTGCCAAACACGTAAGCACATGTAGACTTGCCCAAATATACAAGTAAATATGTATGTATGCATATGATGTATACTAGTATGTAAAAATGCACATGTGAAAAACTGAACATGTACATAAGTACGTATGTAAGTATCTACATATGAATGCATATTCAAATTTGTTATTTTTACATTTACAATGCGCTATAAGTTCCATACGCGTAGTTGCACAAACCGCTAATGCCACCACTTCACCGCCACAAGCGCCTCTATAACCACTTCCACTGCTGCACGAAGCTGTGTACGGATTGTAGGTAAGTGCATGCATATATACATTGTTCATATGCAAGTATTTGCAACATATATACATACGTTTGGTCGTATGTACATATATATATATATGTACGTACAAGCACTCAAAATACACAGGTATGCCATAATCACCAGCTCATCGGCAAGTGGCCTATAGCAGCAGCACTACAAACATAGCAGCGGCTAACCCAAAATACAACCATGCGCTTCATGTCTTCCACATTACTTGAAGTAGTATGAGTGGCGGCCGCCCGAGAACAGGCAATGGCCCCAATAGAACAACTGACAGTATTACGGCAATATTGTTATTAGAAGCCTCAACAACGTGGACGACAACAACGAGGCTTGCGGAACCGCGACGTATCGCTCTAGCGTGTTGCACCTTTGTTGCAACTGCATTAATATCTGCATATGCGGTAATACCACTGCGCTTGACTGCGTTAAGCAGGCACAAGTCAGCCAGACAGCAAGCAACCGATTCAAACTGTATGCATAGCCAGCCAACTAGTCAAGCAGCTAAAGATGAAGACGAATACGTAGCCAGCCAGCCAGCCAGCCCACTAGGTATTCTTGATCTTCTGCAGTACATACACTTTTTATTTCTTATTTACTTTTTATTTTGCCTTTCTATACAACAAACTCAGGTAGTACATACCAGCATAAACACAGTCGGGCACCTTTGTTCCGAATTACCCTTCTTCCACGCATCTACTTAGTTACTTCAGTGCTTGGTCGGTTGGTTGGCTGGTAGCTGACAACAGCACAAGTGCTCGGCTGCCGCGCATTCATTCTGCAAGTGTTTGCAATCTTGCCTCTTTTGTTTTGTAACTGCGCTTGTGACTTGGGCTCATCTTCGGTGTTGCCGTCGTCGTTTTGTGCTGCAATGTTATCTATTTCTTCCATTCGCTTGTGTCTCTTGCGAATTCCGTGCACGTGTGCATATTTTGCAAGCATATTAGATGGTTAATACGAGCTAACAACGCGCGAATGCGCCTATCATTAAGGGGAATGAAGGGGTAATTTATGTGATTTTGATGTTTGGTGTTTCCAGCTTATTTATAATGTACGTAAGCATGAATCTATTATGTACATACATATATACATGTGTAAATATTCGTGCAATGTGGAATGGTATTATGAATTGAGCATTTCCAAATATTTGGCATAACCGCATAGGCCTAAAACTTAAATTATTATTTACCGGTTTTCATTTGTCGGAATAATTTTTGTTGTGTACATTATCGTCTATTAAATTAGGGACACTACTTCCCTACAAGTTGTTGCCATTTATTTTTTAATTTATTTTGACAAGGGATGACTGAAATTCGTTCCGAAGTAAATCATTTTACCTATGGTAGAAAAAAGGTGGTTTAATTTAATGACATTAGCAGCCATCTTAGCCATTTGACTTTTGCTATGATTATGACCTTTTCATCAAAATCAAGCTACCAGATTAAAAATTATAATGAAATTTTTTTCTGAAAAAAAGTTTTTCGACAAGGGAAAAAATATAATATTTTTTTTTATTAAATATTCAACAATTTTTATTGAGCTTGAGGCCTTTTTAATGAGAAACTTATTGTGGAAAAGCAACAATAATTTGAAAAAATGGTAGAAGTGATAG